CCTGCGTGTGTGCGTGCCTGCATGCACGTGTGTGCGCTTGTTCGTGTGCCTACATATGTGTGTTTGTGTATGCATTCATGTGCATATGTGTGGGTGTGGGAGTGGGTGTGGGGGCATGCACTATATGTATACATATATGTTTATATAGGAATAAGTTGCTTAAGGTAAGGGGTTAGGGATAAAAGATAGTTTTTTATATTTATATTAGTTGCTTTTACTGTTGTGTGAGATTCACATTTGGCCTCAGGTAAATTGTATATGCAACACACACATGCAAATGTGTGCATGCACATGCACTCAAATATATCCACACACATACATATGTGTGAGTGAGAGAGTGAGTGAGTCAGTCAATCAGTGAGTGAGTGAGTGAGTCAGTTAGTCTATTAAAAGGCCCAAATGACCCTGCCAGATTTCCCCACTCCTTGAATTTGTGGAACAATTATTTATTTATTTAATTCTATTAATATTGATTGTTACTATTATTGGTATTATGTTTAATGTAATGCCTTTAGAATACTAATATCAATAAAAAATATAATTATGAAGAATCTCCCAATAAACAAGGGAAAAGGTAGATAAGAGAGGTAAGATAGGTAAGACTAATAATTGACTCCTTGGTGACCAAAGACTTTTGGAGATCTCTCTTTATAAGCTCAATTAATAAATAAGTTACTATGTATTTGTTCTGTGATATTGCCATTTGCTGTCAATGTTAAAAAAAGACTTATTTAGTATTAAGACGTCTTATTAATAGCTTGTCTTACTGAGCTAGCAAACATAATGCTGATCTGTTCTGAAATGTTTACACATCAACAACCCTGTACAGGATCTAGGCATATTCTGATAAGGTAGATGCCAGGTAATGAGAGAAACTAAATGTGTTAAAAAGAACATCAGGAAAATTAGGTAAAGAAAAGTAGACTCTTATATTACAATAATAATTATCTGATTTTGGCATTTACACATATACAAATAATAAGTGGTTCATAAAATATTTTGTTTGTGTTTCAGATGCACCACTCAACCTCTCCAAACCAAGAAATCACCTAGGGAAGTAGAAGAGGAGCACAGAATACCTTATATTGACGAAATAGCAGTGGAAATTTGGCTATATTATGGAAGTTTAGAAAAAGAAGTGTTTCAGACTTTGCTAAAATAGGGAAAGGAGCTATTTTTTTCTATTAAAGTACATTTGAGTAGTCACACGCTGTGTTAGGTACAAACAGACTAAGTATATCTTGACGTAGCCTGAATGTTTTTTAATTTAATTTTGTATTGATGGATACTTACACACATTGCTATGTGTAGATGCATTTATTACACAGAGCAAATTACCAAGTTTAAAGCTTGCTTGGAAAATGGATTTCACCATTTTCTTTTCTACTAGTACAATTTTTATGTGTAAAAACAACCAGTTGAGGTTTAACATTGTATAAACAGATGCCTCATATATTCATGTAAATTGTAATTATAATATTAATTATCAGAAGCATAGTAGCTTTCTGTCCAAAATGAAAAGTGTATTGCAGAAATAAAATAAAGTTCAGTATTAGCTGCTGTATATTTTCAGCACTAGAGTTACCAGTCAGGTTGCATGATGTTGAAACTGCAGGGAGTCAAAGTACCGGTAGTGCTTAGAGCAGACAAATGCACTCCTGGATAAATGTGTGTGTGCTTATTAACTAGCTGCACACATTTAAGTTGCATCTGCCTGTGCAGATTTCAGTTAGCTTGTGCATGTAGGGGTGGTGATGCTCAGTCAGGACGATGAAGGTCGTGTTTGTGTATGGTGTGTGATCATGTAATCTCATTATTGTAACATATTAATTATACCCTAATTATGAAAATGGTGTGATGAGTAGTGATGATTGATCTCAAAAGAACGTTTCAGGAAGTTGGTCACTCTTGTATATTATCTCCTGTATTCATTACCAAAATCTAATAGTTGCTTTCACCAGCCAGGCATCTAGAGGGTTATTTACCTTGTAAAGGCTCTCTGGTGTAATGTTCTACCTCTGAATATTCTGTCCATGTAAGGAACAAATTTTAAGAAGCTTTTGCATCATGTAGGTAATCATTTTGATTATCAATATAATGCTAGAATTAAATGCAGTTAGTTCAAGGGGATTCTTGATCACTTCATCTTTGATCTTGACCCTCTGTCTGCATTGCTTCAGAACTGTTAAGTGTATTTCCAAAATGTCAACAATTTTGTCCAACAAAGTCTTATGTGGCCTTATGATTGAAAATTAATTTTGTGTGCCTTTCTTGGCATTATTCAAATGCTGCCAGAACATACAATTTATGTCAGACTTTCCTAAATGTGTCTTTGTATGCAAACAAAAACAGTATTCTATTTTACTATAAACTTGTATAGAAGTTTAAAGATAATTTATCTTCTAGTGTATGTGTAACATTCACTGCTCTATCTCAAATTCTTTCTTCACAGTTACAAAGATGATGCCAGCTAGTAATGTGTTGGTTGTCACTGGCTTGGTAAGGTAACATGATTTGAAATGGGCTCCTAATCTGCATAGAACTACTTAGCTTGAATAACTTGTAATCATATAGAAGTTAATCAAGCATGAAGAAGAATAAGTAAAAAAAATATTGGGATCTTTATTATAGAATATCAAATGCAACCATTGTGATAAAAATCTGCTTCACCAAAGGCTTTGATGTTAGGGGTAAGTGGATTTTTCCTCATTTGTTTTTGATATCCTTGCAATGCAAAACGTAATTGGATAGATATTCTAAATAATATTTTTATAGATACTTCAACCTGCTGTCCTTTATTTAGAAATGTTTCATGTTTCCAGTAACAATATTACTAAACTAGATCAGCCATTCTTCTAAGTAGTAATGCATTATTCACTGGAAGTCTTACATCAGAATTTAAAGTTAAAAAGATGAGAGGGCAGCTGTAATAGTTAGGGCATTTATCAAATATTAATTAAGATGTCAGTATGGGTATGGGCTAAGTGATTGTAACTAGTGTACCTTGAGCTTAACAGGAAACATTATGTTGAACCACAAATTATCACAAATTAGTTTATCATACAAGATATAGGACCACTGCTTGAGGATGGAGGGAAAGAATGGGCAATTGATTCCCAATAGAAGACTTACCATAGGTGATAGTAGACTTGTAGATTTTAACACTGATAACAGTCAGGTTAAAAGAAAATTGATTTGCAAGTTACTGTACTATGTATCTGATCAATGCCTTTGAAAAGACCTTTATTATAACTCAATTTATAGATCAAATTATACTCTAATCATAAATGAAGCCTCTGAGGTATAATGTTTTGTGCCATTAATAAGGAAGCAAGCCATATGAAGTCATTTGTGCTTCAGATTTATCTCTCTCATGTGTTAGACTAGTGGAGAACAAGTCTCTTATAAAGAATAACCTAAATAATAGTCTGCAGCATGAGAGCAGTCCTTGAGGTACAAAATGTGGGGAATAAGCTCTTAATGAGTTGATGCTTTGCTTCAGAAAGGCTAAATTTGTGATACTTAACTATAGCATTTGTCAGCATTAACTTATTTAATTTAGATACCACTGCCACAAACATCTGTGCATTTACACAAGAATCTTATGCTTATTTTTTTGTAACATATGTGTATAACTGTATAAATGCTGTGAAAGAATGTGTAAGGATAAAAGGTTTTGTAGCGCTGAACCTTGGTAATTCAACATTGTAAAAATGTTTATATGTTTTATATTGTGCCAAAATGCATTTTCTCTAACATGTTGTTTAATTATCCCAGTATTGCAAATGTGGATCAGAGCTAAATACGTAGATTGAATATATACATATATGAAAAAAATATTGAATGGTTCAAGATTTGAAAACTTTCTTTATATAAATGTATCTCATTTCTTTGTTTATTTTTATTTCTTTGCTACCAATACAGAAAAAAAAGTGGGAAGAGCTTGTTGATTGAAAACAAAAATCTGGAAGAACCATGAAGTTCTATTTGAAATTAATGAATGTGGGCAACTTTAAGCCAATTTAATGACATCCCTTTAAAAAAAATGTTACATTGTTAATGTAAAGTGTTCAAATTACCATTACATACCATTATGTAAAGGTCAAGGAATATTCCATTTAGGAGGAAGTTGACATTGGCATTTACTTCATTTCTGTCTGTTTATATATGAGTCTGCAGCATAATTTGTGTAAAGCCTTATTATTGCAATGGAACTTGAGTGGTATCTGAACATGTTATGGTGAATGTAAGCCAGTGCCAGATGTCTCCATTATTGATGTGGAGTTTCATGACACTGATAAATCTAGTTTCCAAACAAAGAGCCCCCAAATTTGGCAACAGTGGATTAACAGAAAGTATTGTGTAAATCATCAAATATTGGTTTCATGCACATCAGACACACTTTCAAGAAGGGATGTACTATTTTGTAATGTTTGTCACCGTTTTAAAAATGTGTAAACAGATTACATAAAGGATCATCGAAACAGACGTTGGGAGACCTCTCTCACCCGCTTACGCATTGGCCGCACCCGTCTAACACACTCCTATCTGATGTCACAATCTAATCCACCCCTATGTTCCTTATGTAATGTTCCCCTTTCAATCCCACACATCCTATTGTCGTGCCCATGTTTTGAAACAGGCCGTACCTCTGCTTTCCCCCACCTATCCTCCCTTCACCGACATCCCAACCTATCAGACATCCTTACAGGATCCCACACTTTCTGCATCAACAACCTGTTCTCTTTCCTCAAACGCATACATATCCTTCATCTAATCTAACTCCTTACCACACCCGACCTTAACCCTTTCACTCACCAATTCCTTTGCCCAGCTTAGACAACTAATCAGTAACTCAACCACCTTCACTAACATTAACTATAGTGCTACATGACCTTAGATGACTAGCACATTTATCTTGCTTTTAACCATTACATAAAGGAAATGACTGCCTCTCCATGCCTACTTTCCAAAACAGAATTCCATTGGGGGGGGGGATCTTTTTGGTAGTAGGAATTCATATTTAAAGTTGCTAAAAGAAAGCTAGCTCTGGTGGTCATAATGAGGATTAAATTGTGAAGAATTGGTTTAAAACTATGCAGCACATAACTACATAATGCCATGGAAAATATTCTATACTGAGATAAAACTAATGTGGAGGCTTTAAAAAAAATCAAAGAAATTTGAATTTGGCAAACAAAAAGTTTCTATAGCCAAAATTACCTATGTATTTCAGTGGCCTTGATCCATCATTTTTTGCAAAGCTCTTTCATCAAATGAACAATCAGATCTATATGGAACACCCTACCTTAAATTGTGGCACTATAGTGTATCACCATATGTACTTCATAATGGCATTTAGTCCTGACACTGACAGAATAGTATCCTTCAAGCAAGGAGGAATTTGAACATCTAAAATAAACCACATCTAAAGGTTGACACAGGTGTTATGTCTACAAATCCACTCCTTTCTACCCCCCTCTCCCCCCCCAATCCCTTGGCCGTTGTTGTCGTGGGGGGGGGGGGGCTTAGGAGGCGGAGACTGGGACCCAATGATGGGGAACTCCCCAACCTTGGGACTCAACCCTCGACTCAACAAATTTTGCATGATCTTTTTTCCCCTTCCTACTTTTTCGTTTCTGTCCCTTCACCAAACCCTTCTATTATCCACCTCCTAAAGTGTGAGAGCCGTGCTGAAAGGATGAAAAGCTGACTTTGCGCCAGTCCTGAACGGCCTGAGGGAGCCATGGGTACGGTATTCCCCTGATTTAGTTATCTAGCCCTTACCCCTCAAGGGGACCCTGAGGGGTGGACTGTTTTTATCCCCAACATAATCCAGGCTTACCATGGCCAATAATGAAAACATAATACCACTATTAGGGGCAATGAGGCTTGCCCCTTTATCAAATAGCCCCAACGATGCAAACCCTCCCGATTCCCTGACCCCAGTCTCTCCTTTGACCACGGCTCCGAACACTGCAACAACTACCCCCTCATCAATACCTACTAGTACAGTAGCCAACAACCAACCCCCAAGAGACATTTCCACTCTCCCAACATCTTGAATACTCTATTCAGCGCAGCCAAATGGGACCGATTTTTCGTGATCCCTCCCACAGTTCCCTACTCTGACAACACCATTCTCTTCCAGCAAATTGCCCAATCTATGACAAAGATTGGTTAGATTGTGGAGAAGACCTACTCGCCTGTCTCATTGACTATGATGCAACATCAGTACAATGCTACTCCATTCCCCCCAGAGGTCATCGAAAGAAACCCACTAACATAGCCAAAATTACCTTCCTTAGACATGACTTTCCCTTTAACGTTTACATAGGTGGAGAATCCCTCCCTGTCCGACCATACCAACTTCCTCCACGTCAGTGCCAAAATTGTTGGCGTCTAGGACACCCAGCTAAACATTGCCGTTCCACAGCCAGATGCCCACTATGTGCCCAATCTGGCTATACCCGATCAAACTGCTCTGCACAATCACGTACATGTGCCAACTGTGGCGGCACCCATAATGTAGTTTATAGGGGCTATACCACCTACAAATTTGAGTCTGAGGTAGCAACTCTCAGATTCAAACTTGGACTCACACTGCGTGAAGCCAGACAGGAAGCACGTCGACGTGGTTTTTCTCTTACTCCTTACTCTAGTAATAATGCTCATTCTACCACTTCTCCTAAACCCACCCCTCCTACATCTAACTCCCCCTCTTCTACCTCCTACTTTCCCCAATCAAACTCTTTTGCTATCCTAAATCCAGACACTCCAATCTCTACCAGGGGCGTCACTTCATTTGCCCTGCAAAACACGAAAAAGAAAATGCTCACTAGCTCTTTATAAGTAGCCCGGAATGGACCATCAACCAGTATTTACAAATGATAAATGAACAAAACAACAAAAATAATGATAATGTTTATTTATAGCGATGGGGTCGCCGTGGTACAGTGGTAACGCGCGCGACTGTGGGCCGGAGGCGCACGGGTTCGAATCCCGGCCACGGTCCGAGGTTAGGAAGGGCATCCATTCGGGGTAACGGTCTCCACCTGCCAATACCTGCCTGCCCTTCACGGGGCAGGCCCGTCCTAACCCTTGTCCAAAAAGGGGAATTTCTTGACGCTAAACCAAAAGAAAAAAAGAAAGAAGAGTTTATTTTATAGCGAATTAAAGTTTTATTTTGCAATTTTTTGTTGAAAATAGATAGGTATCAGCTTTTTTAAAATGAAATACATTAAGTTAATTAAGTGAACCATCCCCCCATACCCTCCCTTAAGTGATGCCCCTGATCTCTACTGCAGACACTCCAATCTCCACTACAACCCTCACACCTTCCCCTCTCCCTCCTCGCACTACCCGTAACAGACAGAACAAACGTTCCACCCCCTCTTCCCCTACCACACAATCACCTCCACCTTCCTTCGCCCCTACTCTTGAGACACCAGTCCTCTCTTCCCCCCCTCACAAGAAATCCTTTATCTCCCAAAACTCCCCAACCAACTCCTCAGAAGAAACTATTGAAAATATTCAAGATTACTTAATGAAAACTGACACTCAACCTTCAAATCTTACAACTACTCCTTCCACACTCCAAGTGATTGCCGATATCCATCCTCCTCCTAACGATATCCCCCCTACACCCCATCATCCTACCCCCTCCCAACACAGCCCATCCCCTCCGAATCCACCCCCCCCCCCACATTAACCCTCCCACCATCCCCTCTATCCCTTCCACTCCCTCCTGGATACACACGTGAATCCCTTATGTCACAAGTATCCCCTTCCTCAGACCCTCCATCTCCTAATACCCCTCCTGATAGAACACCAACTCCCACACCTCTCCCATCTCAGACCTCTCAGTCCTTATCCCACCCTCTAGCTGCTTCCCCCTCAAATTCTCCAACACGTACTACAATCTATATCACTAAAGTATAACTATCCTTCATTGGAATATTCGCGGTTTCCGCTCTCACAGACCCGACCTTCGCCATATCCTTTCCTCTTATAACCCATCCATTGTATGCCATCAAGAGACCTTTCTTACACATCCACCAATTCCAATCCCCAATCATCATTCTGTCTCTTCCCCACACTCCCTTTATGTCTCGTCCATATTTATCAATCAGAAAACACCTTATGCCACACCTCCCTTTCAAACCAATATCCCTTGCACAGTTATTCGTACCTATCTTCATCGTTGGATCACAGTGATCTCAGTCTACTTCTCCCCTTCCCACCCCATTGACTTTGTTACTTTTGAAAATCTAATTTCACAACTTCAACCACCTTTCCTCATAGTTGGTGACTTTAACTGTCGCCACACTCTTTGGGGTGATTCTATCACCAATTCCCGAGGCCGATCCCTAGAGCGCTTCCTCTCCACAGCTGACCTTATTATTCTAAATTCAAATCGCTCCACACACTTTGATACACGTACGCAATTTTTTTCATGCATTGACCTCTCTCTATGCTCCCCTTCTCTTCATTTAGATTTCCACTGATCAGTCTTAGACCACTTTCCCTATAGTGACCAATTTCCAGTTCTCCTTTCTCCTACTTCATATGTACCACTTCCTAACTCCCCACGCTGGTGCTTTGATAGAGCCGACTGGCATACTTTCACTTCACTCTCTGCTATTCATACCCCACCATCCTCCCTCTCCTCCATTTCAGAAATGATACAGTGTTTCTCAACTACTGTCCTAAGAGCTGCACATACAGCTATCCCTCGAACCTCAAGACCCTATACCTCCAAATGTGTTCCATGGTGGAATTCTGATTGCACTAAAGCACTTCGCTTAAAACGTGCAGCCTGGAACAGTTACCGCTACAAGAGAGGTACTCCAAATCAACTATCAGCCCTTATCTCCTTTATAAGAGCATCTGCCTGTCTTCGTCGTACAATCCGGAATAGTAAAACAAATAGCTGGCGAAATTATGTTTCATCAATTACATCCTCTACATCTATCTCAAATGTTTGGCGCCGAATCCATAAACTATCAGGCAAACATCCCCCCCATCCTGCCCCCGTCCTCCATATTCGAGATACCCTCATTTCTGAACCTCTCCAAGTCGCTAATGAACTGGGTGAATATTTCAGCCAGGTCAGTAGTGGTTCTCACCTTTCTCCACACTTCTCTTCTATTAAGACCATCAGAGAACGCACCCCCATTACCTTCACCCCATCCTCCACTGAGTCCTATAATGCTCCATTTTCTTCCTTCGAACTCAATGCTCCCCTACAATCGTGCCGCAGCACTCATGAAGGCCCTGACGGTATTCACTACCGTATGCTCCGGCAACTCCCATCTTCCTCCTTATCCTTCCTATTAAAAATTTACAACCACATATGGACACCAGGAAATTTTCCTTCTCATTGGCGAGAAGCACTTATCCTTCCCTTCCTAAAACCCAATAAATCAGGTACCCTCCCTCAAGACTATCGCCTCATCGCACTAACTAGCTGCTTGTGCAAACTATTAGAGCGAACAGACGTTGGGAGACCGCTCTCGCCCGCTTACGCATTGGCCACACCCGTCTAACACACTCCTATCCGATGTCACAATCTGATCCACCCCTATGTTCCTTATGTAATGTTTCCCTTTCAATCCTACACATCCTATTGTCGTGCCCACGTTTTGAAACAGCCCGTACCTCTGCTTTCCCCCACCTATCCTCCCTTCAACGACATCCCAACCTATCAGACATCCTTACAGGATCCCACACTTTCTGCTTCAACAACCGCTTTCCCCAAATGCATACATATCCTTCATCTAATCTAACTCCTTACCACACCCGACCTTAACCCTTTCACTCACCAATTCCTTTGCCCAGCTTAGACAACTAATCAGTAACTCAACCACCTTCACTAACATTAACTATAGTGCTACATGACCTTAGATGTCTAGCACATTTATCTTGCTTTTTAACCATTAACCATTCCCTCCTTCCTCACTCCTCTCTCTTGTATTTTACACAGGCACACACATGCACGCACACACACACACACACACACACATATACATACATTTGTACTTACATACTTATGTATATATGCATATATACATAAATATACAGATATATACATATGTATATATAAACATAAATGTATACATATATACACATACAAATATATACATATACATATATACACATACAAAAATATACATACACATATATGTACACGTACACATACATACATAAATAGACATATATTATATATACATATATATAATGTACATACATATGTGTATATATATATATATATATATATATATATATATATATATATATATATATATATATATATATATATATATATATGTAAGTACATAATATATGTGTATATATACATATGTTTGTATATATACATATATATAGATATATAGATATACATTTATATATAATGTATGTGTATATATACATGTATACATACATTATTTACATATATATATATATATATATATATATATATATATATACATATATATACATATGTAAATAATGTATGTATACACGTATATATACACATACATTAAATATAAATGTATATCTATATATCTATATATATGTATATATACACATATATATTATGTACTTACATGTATATATATATATATATATATATATATATATATATATATATATATATATATATATATATATATATATATATACACAGATATATATATATATATATATATATATATATATATATATATATATATATATATATACACAGATATATATATATATATATTCATCAACATATAGTGATGACCGGGCTCCTGGTGGTAAAACTGAGACAAAGTCATTCTCATCAAGAAGGAATAAAGTGGTACTGAGCACACTGCCTTGTGGGACACCGATTTGAGGAAAGAAAGATGATGTGGCAGAGGCAAATTTGACCTGGAAAGTGCGTTGGGAGAGGAAAGACTTTATAATGACACCCATTTTTCCACATATGCCTAGAGAGGACAATTGTTGGAGAATATGGTACCGCCATGTCATATCATATGCTTTTTCTAGGTCAAAAAATATAGCTAGTATGGATTCATGGCGTGCAAATGCGGATGTAAAATGTGTCTCAAATTGAGCAAGGGGGTCAGCTGTGCTTCGGGCACAGCGAAAACCAAACTGGGAAGGAGAGAGAAGATTGTGAGATTCTAGATACCACATTAAGTGGAAGTTAACCATTCGCTCTAGTGGTTTGCACAAGCAGCTAGTTAGTGCGATGGGTCGATAGTCTTGAGGGAGGGTATCCGATTTATTGGGTTTCAGGAAGGGGAGGATAAGAGCTTCTCGCCAATGAGAAGGAAAATTTCCTGATGTCCATATGAGGTTGTAAATTGTTAATAGGGAGGATAAGGAGGAAGATGTGAGTTGCCGGAGCATACGGTAGTGAATACCATCAGGGCCTTCATGAGTGTTGCAGCACGATTGTAGGGCAGCACTGAGTTCAGAGGAAGAAAAAGAAAAATTATAGGACTCAGCGGAGGATAGGGTGAAGATAATGGGGGTACGTTCCCTGATGGTCTTAATTAATAGAAGATAAGTGTGGAGAAAGGTGAGAACCACTACTGACCTGGCTGAAATAATCATACACCTTAGCCAGGTGTACAGCATACCTAGTGGTAGGTGTGATATAGTATAGACAGTTGAGACAGGATACGGATATTGTCCACGGACAATGAATCTACCAATATCATAAAACAAGGCCTGCCCCCATGACAAAGGAAGATGGTAGAAGTGGTGTTCACATAACAATGTCAACACCACAACAGGGAGCACAAACTAACCAAGGTCATCACACGCCTAATTACCGATGTGACCTGACTGCACATGTATATATACACACCTCTATGTATCTCTTGACTTATATGCCCTGATGAAGCAGTAAATGTGAAAAGGCCTTCTGTATATTCATGTATTTTCCTGTACTTCCCTTTGTTCTTCTAGTTGCAATTTGTTTGACATGAATTTTACACACACACACACTATATATATATATATATATAATTATATAAATATATATACACATATATATATATATATATATATATATAGATAGAGAGGAGGAGAGAGAGAGAGAGAAGAGAGAGAGAGAGAAGAGAGAGAGAGAGAGTAGAGAGAGAGAGAGAGAAGAGAGAGAGAGAGATAGAGAGAGAGAGAGATAGAGAGAGAGAGAGACCGATATATAAGGATATTAGTTAAATTCCAAATGCACTTTTGTCATTATTTCTGAATATGATTTATTAATCACAAAGAAAAGTGTAAATGACACCACAGGCACCAGAAATACCAGGTATGTCCTGCATTAACTGCCAATGGCCTCTTAAAGATTACACTTGTTAGTCATATTCTCTGTCTGCCTCTCCCTTCTCCTCTCTTTTGTGAAATTCTTGAGATTTAAATTATTTTTTTCTGCTTTAGAACTCTATCAAAAGGACTGACACCAAGGCAGACATAAGTAGTCTACACTAATGTGTATTTATGTATCTGAGAGAAAAGAGAAAGATCAAGATATTTACCTTTATTTCTACGATCAAGCTCTCGTTTCTTTCTTCTCTGATGTAACCAAGTTGGTTTATAAGCTTTAAACATAGCACCAACAAAATACTTTGTATTCTTGAAGACACGCACCTTAACCTGAGAGAATTTATTTAGGTAACAAGAGATAAAAAGCATATTTCATCATATACCCATCATTCTGCATCTTAAACAAACATTAACTTTTACCTTTAGATAATGCAACCATTTTGCAACCATTCGCCACGCTGCTGGAACAGAATACGCGGTCAATAAGCTGCGAGGCATTAACATCACCATCGGCTTGGTATTTGCCATTTGTTTCTTACTCATTATTTGATTCAGTTGCAACTTTGGGTCGAAAGTCCATGCAAGTCCCCATCTGCAGTTTGGATATTACAGAAACTTAATGAATATTGTGCACAATAATTACTTCATTATATAGACTGATTCCAAAGTACAGAGCCATAATATTTTTGAATCTCACTTTTACTGTATTTATCTTTCTCTCTTTGAATATACATACCTCATTGTTCTTCCTTGACAGAACTCTGTAAATGATGAATGTGCAGGACTAACAGTGGCTAAAACTTGTTTTACTTTTTTAATGTCTGCTTTAGTTCCAATTAGTGTTGTAAATATCCTAAAAAAAAAAAGAAAAACAGAATTCAAAATTATGATAAACTTTATAGAATGTACTAAAATCTATCTTGAAAAGAAGAGGAAGAGGAGCAATCGAAAAGGTAATCATGCATAAGACTGAGTGTAACTTTCAAGTTATGTAATATTTAACAGCAAAGTACTAATGCAGAGTGTCTCTTAAAATATTTTCACTTATTTCTTTTCTTAATTCTAGATAAGCAAATGTTGGACACATCAAGTACACTTGCCAATTATTTCTTTGACACATGTATCTATCATATACAGTTTGCTTAGTGATAGTTTACATGAGTGGTTTTCATTAAGTTATTTCTGAAAACAGAATCTCTCTCTAAATGGACTGTCTGAAAAAGCTTACCAAATAAAAGAAAAACAGAATTCAAAATTATGATAAACTTTATAGAATGTACTAAAATCTATCTTGAAAAGAGAGAGAGGAGAGAGAGAGAGAGAGAGAGAGAGAGAGAGAGAGAGAGAGAGAGAGAGAGAGAGAGAGAGAGAGAGAGAGAGAGAGAGAGAGAGAGAGAGAGAGAGAGAGAGAGAGAGAGAGAGAGAGAGAGAGAGAGAGAGAGAGAGAGAGAGAGAGAGAGAGAGAGAGAGAGAGAGAGAGAGACCGATATATAAGGATATTAGTTAAATTCCAAATGCACTTTTGTCATTATTTCTGAATATGATATATTAATCACAAAGAAAAGTGAAAATGACACCACAGGTACCAGAAATACCAGGTGTGTCCTGCATTAACTGCCAATGGCCTCTTAAAGATTACACTTGTTAGTCATATTCTCTGTCTGCCTCTCCCTTCTCCTCTCTTTGTGAAATTCTTGAGATTTAAATTATTTTTTTCTGCTTTAGAACTCTATCAAAAGGACTGACACCAAGGCAGACATAAGTAGTCTACACTAATGTGTATTTATGTATCTGAGAGAAAAGAGAAAGATCAAGATATTTACCTTTATTTCTACGATCAAGCTCTCGTTTCTTTCTTCTCTGATGTAACCAAGTTGGTTTATAAGCTTTAACATGAGCACCAACAAAATACTTTGTATTCTTGAAGACACGCACCTTAACCTGAGAGAATTTATTTAGGTAACAAGAGATAAAAAGCATATTTCATCAGTAATACCCATCATTCTGCATCTTAAACAAACATTAACTTTTACCTTTAGATAATGCAACCATTTTGCAACCATTCGCCACGCTGCTGGAACAGAATACGCGGTCAATAAGCTGCGAGGCATTAACATCACCATCGGCTTGGTATTTGCCATTTGTTTCTTACTCATTATTTGATTCAGTTGCAACTTTGGGTCGAAAGTCCATGCAAGTCCCCATCTGCAGTTTGGATATTACAGAAACTTAATGAATATTGTGCACAATAATTACTTCATTATATAGACTGATTCCAAAGTACAGAGCCATAATATTTTTGAATCTCACTTTTACTGTATTTATCTTTCTCTCTTTGAATATACATACCTCATTGTTCTTCCTTGACAGAACTCTGTAAATGATGAATGTGCAGGACTAACAGTGGCTAAAACTTGTTTTACTTTTTTAATGTCTGCTTTAGTTCCAATTAGTGTTGTAAATATCCTAAAAAAAAAAAGAAAAAACAGAATTCAAAATTATGATAAACTTTATAGAATGTACTAAAATCTATCTTGAAAAGAAGAGGAAGAGGAGCAATCGAAAAGGTAATCATGCAATAAGACTGAAGTGTAACTTTCAAGTTATGTAATATTTTAACAGCAAAGTACTAATGCATGAGTGTCTCTTAAAATTATTTTCACTCATTTCTTTTCTTAATTCTAGATAAGCAAATGTTGACACATCCAAGTACACTTGCCAATTATTTCTTTGACACATGTATCTATCATATACAGTTTGCTTAGTGATAGTTTACATGAGTGGTTTTCATTAAGTTATTTCTGAAAACAGAATCTCTCTCTAAATGGACTGTCTGAAAAAGCTTACCAAATAAAAGAAAAACAAAGGAAAATGTTAGAGAAAACGAATCTGCTCTACATGGATGGCACTGGATTCTGAAAGGATTCATCTCCAATAATAATAATATTTGTGTGTGAATGTGTGGATAAAATATAAAGCAAGAATATCCATACTCTGTTCAATCTGGATATATAAGAAGCCCCAACCTCTTGCACGGCTTAATCATATGGCTGGTTGGGTTCTGTCATAACTGATAATTCATAATATTTGACTTTGCTTGAGTATTAATATTTTCTCCTTGATTTTACATTTTCATTCATTCATAATTACATCTTTCATATATCACAGATTACACTAATATTGGAATGTGTGACTGGAAATCTTAAATTATTGTCTGATTAGTGTGTGTGTGTATGTGTGTGTGTGTGTGTGTTTACTTTTGAAGTAAAGTCAGCTCGCTAGCTGACAGGGATGTCACATTTGAGAATCAATAATAAATTTGACTCATAATATAAGAAAACAGTATTTGTATCTCTTTTGATCAGGGTTTAAATTATAGTCATATTTTCTATTTCTATGCAAAATGATGCAATAAATGATCTTACAACCAGAGAAGCAACAATGGAACTGATAAAGAGGGAGACAAAAGGTTGAAAATTTACCAAGCATTAAAATCAAGGAAAAACAGAAAGAAGGCTGGATACATGTCATATACAGTTTACTTACCTTACTTTATCTTTCAAGTGAGAACTCTCCTCAATCATTTGTGTAATAAATGATACTTCTCCTCCAGAAGTAACTATCTCTTGCACAGCACCTGTTCAATAGATAGCTTTGACAAGCTTATATACATAATATTAAATGCAAAGTCATACAACTTTTACCTTTAAAATCTGCATAAAACTCAAGCATAGTATTACCATATGAATCTTTGAATACTCTCTAAAGGAAATTATAATCTGATTTAAACTATATTGGGAATGGGGTCATCAAATCTTTAGGGAAACTCTTTTTTTCCTCTCTCTCTCTCTCACTCAACATCGGATCAACTCAAGATATATTCTAATTCTCTTATTTTCTCATATGGCACTTAGTAAGATGAGGCCCTAAACAATTTGGAAGGGTTAAAAAAAAATTACTGGCTGCCTAACCCTCAGTAAACATAGTTCAGTTATAGTAATGGTTGACCAAATGCATACAATTGCATTTTCAGAATTTCTATGTCCCTGTAGCTTTGTGGGTTTTCAAGTTCTTGAGGAAACTTTAGGTGTGTTCCTGAGTTTTGAAAAAATGGCACTCTTACTAGGAGGCTAAAATACTGAACATAAACATGAAACAATATTAAGGGAAAGTCACACTGGTATGTATTATGCATCATTACATGTTCAACTACTGGGCTTGAGCTTGGATACAGAGTATCATACTCTTCAGGTTAAAAATGGCTGAGGGAAAAGAAAAGAAAAAAAGAAAAAAGAAAAGAAAGAGAGAAAAAGTGAGAGAAGCAGAAGAAGTAGAAGCAGAAGAAGAAGAAGAAGCAGAAGAAGCAGAAAAAGAAGAAGAAGAAGAAGAAGAAGAAGAAGAAGAAGAAGAGGAGAGGCATTTGATGCAATTCAAAAACTGAAGAAAAGTACTGTTCTTTGAAAGCTGCTATTCTACATTGATTGAAACCACAAGTAGAAACCTAAAATCACAGATATCACAAAGGAAAGCAAGGAAAACTAATAAGTACTTCAAGTACCTGTTGGAACACTAACAGGTTCTCCTCTGTCTTTCTTGCTCTTGTTCATTGTGTGAATATCCTCTTCAGAACCAAAAAAGGGTGGATTACACATGGTGAAGTCAAAGATGTAATTACTGCTTTCTATACCTTTCTTATCATCTGTCAGGAAATTGAAGAATGCAGTAATGTGTTAACATCATTCCATAATCCTATGGAAGTTATGTATAAAATTCACATACATGTAAGCTGTGGTAACATATCAACACTACTTCTAGGAACCAATAATCACTATCCAGTACTTGATATCATTTACCTACCACTGATTAAAACACACTAAAAGGAAACCAGGGGTCTCGGATGTATATTTGTTGTCACCAAATATACACCTCTGTTTTTGATGACATATTTTTTGTCCTAGGGACCTTCAATCAACTAATTTGTCAGCCCATGTCCTGATAAACACAGTTGCATGTTATTAGCAATGTCTCGTACAATACTTTGCATTGGGTCTTTTTTTCAACAATTCATGCTGATTTCTGGATAAATAAGACTAGTTTATATAAACCTTTGGTCCTTATTTAGCATGCACATCAGAATGAAGTTGTACATATATTAGGATAGTACTGCTTCAAAATG